GTGTTAAATTCTCCAAAATGTTGCAAAAATATATGACCTCAAATTTCGTGCTCTTAAAATGCGGACGAGAATTTAAGATCGGTCCGAGAACACATCTAAATAAATTTTCACCCGAAAATTGGTTTTTCGAGAATCGAGCCACAAAGTTGTCGAAGAAGAAAGTTACTTTTATGGATCGTTGAAATAAGGTTATAGCTAGATAGCGAAACAATAGAATCCTCGACTACCTTTCAGTGTTTGATGGAAACGTTATAAGATTAATTGAAAATTACTTCCACGAACATAGTGGTTTCATAAAGCCACTGTTTCTTAAAAAAACAGGGTTAAGTTAACTTTCGTATTTTTTGTTTACTAAAAATTTTGGATAAGTAACTGTCAACTAAAAGTAATTACATATGATGAAAATTAATTTGAAATGAACACAACGTGTCCTTAAAAATTTTAAGAAACTAAATTTATAATTCTTTTTATTATGTTATTATGTACATTACGTCTTTGGATAAAACCCTCTTTACGATCAATCTAAAGTGATACAAGGTTTGATACAAGAGAAAGCGATTTATTATATACAAGGTGTTTCAATTAAAATAAAACAGAAATAGACTTTATCACGCTTTTTTGGGAATAAAATTTGATATCATCATAAAATACTTATAGTTGATAGCTACAATCTTTTTTTTTGTAGCAATTTGTTCTAAACTTATAAATATGAAAGTAATATAGGATGATAATAAAACAGCCCCACAAAAAAGAAAGTATCGGATCTGGTATTCAGACCTATATATTTCCATGTATTTTTTTCCACTGAATCCGAATCTGCCTTCAGATTTGGCCCAACGGGTCTGAGTTTTCGGGAAAGTTATAAAAAATGAAATTATTCTACCAGCTCACTAGACGTATGATTTTTCACTCGTTTAATTCCAATTTATCATCATAGAGTCAGACAAGCTGGTCCAATTTCATTCTAAAACAGAAAATAGATTAAAAACGCCATTTTCATGGCATAATTCGTGTTGCAGAGTTCTGGATCCATCTTGTTATCCACCCACCCATTTATGAATTCATACATCTTTCTATCCAATCGTTCATGCACGAATACGCATATTCATTCATCCACTTGTACCACCTATAAAACCTACCCATCCACCCATCTATCCATCTACATTTTGTATTGAGAGATGAGATAACAGCTTAGAAGATTGAGAATGCAATAAAACTTGTAGAATACTCTACTTTATAAACAAAAGAAAACGATATCTACAAATCATTCTTATTTTTGTTGCTATTTCACGATTTCATCAGGATATGAAGGTTATAGAACATCCATATCAAGGAAGATGGGATGAAAACATGATGGCCGATTTTTGTTGGTTGTTAAAAAGAGAAACGAAAAATAGAGGGACTAAACGAAAGCGTAACTATTTGCATAGATCCTTTGAAGAAAAAAGAACACGTTATAGCAACAAAAATAAGAATGGTTTGTAGGTATCGTTTTCTTTTGCTTAGAAAGTGAGTATTCTACAAATTTTATTGCATTTCTGAGTCTCTCAGTACAACAAGTAGATGGATAGATGGGTGGATGAGTGGGTTTTATAGATGGTACAGGTGGATGATAGAATGATGTATTCATTCATAAATGTGTGGGTGGATAAAAAGATGGATCCAGAACTCTGAAACACGAATTATGCCATGAATATGGCGTTTTTAATCTATTTTTTGTTTTTGAATGAAATTGGACCAGCTTGTCTGACTCTATGATGATAAATTGGAATTAAACGGGTGAAAAATCAGTGAGCTGCTAGAATAATTTGATTTTTTATAACTTTCGTCCTTCGTAAATTATGTTTTTTTGTGAATTTTGACCTGTTTCTTGAATTTTCACGAAAACTCAGACCCGCTGGACCAAATCTGAAGGCAGATTCGGATTCAGCGGAAAAAATACAAGAAAACACATGGATTTGAATACCAGATCCGATACTTTTTTTTTGTGGGGCTGTGTAATCAATAACTCTGTACCTTCTTATTTATTAGCAAGTAATTTTGTCCACTGTTAAAATAAATAACAAATTATTATTTAACAAAATGTTTGCTGAAAAGTTTGTTATATAAAGAATTCTGAAGTGTACAAAGTGCTTTTTTATAATTCGACTTTTGTAGAAAATATGTGGACTACTTAAGACCTTGAACTAAAATATTTATGTATAACAAAGTCAACGCCTATTGAGATACAACCCTTTCAACATAATACCGAGAAACAATATAATTCTAAAACGTTTTTAGCTAAAACCTTCTTAGTTGGTATGCGTTTTCATTTATTCTATTTATATGTATATTGCTGGGTTATGTAAGAAAAAATAAAATAACGTATTTTAATACAAACTTGTTAAATTTTGATATCTGCTGTGAATACAAGTAAAAAATATATATAGTTGTTGCAGTTGCAGGGTGTCTCATGATTAGTGCCTTTTCTAAGCACTTAAATCCGTTTTTCTCGGAAATGGAGCATTTTATCGAAAGAAACAAAGAGTATTTTTTTTGTAGAGGAAATGAGGGTCTATCATATGTTGGCATCTGAATTTGAACATTTCGAACAAGCAAAAAAATTGGGACAAATTTTAACCAACGACCTGCCAATTGGGACGCCCCTGACTAAAATTTTTGAAAAATTGTATCATGATCTATTTCGACTTTTAATGAGCGTTCACGATGTCAAAATTCATAATTTTTTTCAACCCATTTCGGAAATATTTAGAAAAAATTGAATTTTTTAAGGCCACATTTAGGAGGGCGTAGCTCCCTTAGGAAGCATTTCTCGACCCATGTTTATAAGAAAAAATATTCTTATTTTTGGCAATATAATCAAGTGGACACTAATTATGAGACACCCTTTACACACCCTGTATACATACAAATAAGCAAAAAGATGAAAAAATGTATCTTTGGCGACCAAATTTAAAAAGACAAAATTCTAAAAAAATTTATTTTATATTAGAAAATGTAATTTAGATAATCGCGGACAAACATATAAAATAAAATATGGGCTGGTTAAGTGGTGGTCTTGCATTACATCCAGATAAATAATTTTTGAGATAATATTGTTCCATGGTAAGAAAGCTACATCTCAGTAGACCTTGACTGATGGATGTGTGGATCTACAATGTTTTGATCAGGGAATCTCGGGCCCTAATTTGTTCACGTATTTTGTGGACACTTTAATGTTTATTTACTGGATCATTTACATTTGTTTGAAGTTTGATTTACTGTGCTTACCAAAAAATATTAGAATATTTATATACAGGGTGGTCCAGATTTTAATAGACAAACTTCGGGAAACTACTAAACAACAAAAATTAACATCACTTTGCTCTATGAACATAGGCGCAGAAAGCCACCGTTTATGAGATACAGGGCGTTGAAATTAACAAAAATAAAACAATTTTTTTAAATAACTGCAAAACCACTTCATCAAATTTATCCAAATTTGGTACACATTTTTTTTTCAAATATTTCCTCTAGTTTTGTATGTACATATTCCAAATTCAAAGACCAGTGGCGGAGAAACAAGGATGTGTTTTCTTATTTAAAGTAAAACTTCTACGCCACTAAATTAATTAGTAATATGAATACATTTTATAATGGTCTGAAACATTCCGCATGAAAAAACATTCTTTTATGTTTATCGAAAAGTGAATGGTTTACGAGTTATGAGACATATCTATTATTCAAGTGAACAAAGCGTTGAAATCGGGGAAAAATAAAACAAATGAGTGGTCCAGATTTTAATAGACAAACTTAGGGAAAGTTTTAAATAACAAAAATTAACATCACTTTGCTCTATGAACATAGGCGCAGAAAGCTACCGTTTATGAGTTACAGGGCGTTGAAATTAACAAAAATAAAATAATTTTTTTAAATATCTGGAAAACCGCATCATAATATGCCTCATAACTCGTAAACCATTCACTTTTCGACAAAAATAAAAGAGTGTTTTTTCATCCGGAATGTTTCAGACCGTTGTTAAATGTATTCATATTACCAATTAATTCAGTGGCATAAAAGTTTTACTTTAAATAAGGAAACCATATCATTGTTTCTCCGCCACTGGTTTTTGAATTTGGACTGTGTGCGTACAGAACTAGGAGAAATATTTGAAAAAATGTTTGTACCAAATTTGGATAAATTTGTGAAGCGATTTTCCAGATATTTAAAAAAATTGTTGTAATTTTGTTAATTTCAACGCCCTGTATCTCATATCCGGTGGCTTTCTGGGCCTATGTTCATAGAGCAAAGTGATGTTAATTTTTGTTGTTTAGTACTTTCTCGAAGTTTGTCTATTAAAATCTGGACCACCCTGTATATAATTTTTTTTTAAGTGGTATATACGAATCTTTGTCTCCATGATGTAAACATTTGGTAACGGACACGAGGACATGGATTTTCTGATGAGAATAATTGCATTGCAGATTCTACTCTTTCAAGAAACGTTTTTTTAATAATAGAACACTACATATTTTTCCTTATGTAATTAGAACGGTTACAGTTTCAATTGTAGTGATATAAGGTAAGGGTCAAAACAGTGAATAATATTTTTCTAGCTTATTAAGAATATAATGAAGAATAGAAGCTTAGAAGAATAGAGTGCTATTTGCCGCTATACAAGGTTCTTTCAAAAGTGAACAGGAACAAAAATCTTTTGGCAAAACCGATTTATTTTATTCAAACTGCGTGCAATTTCTTCCAATTATGATTGTTCAGGGTCTATTATATTTATTTGGTGACAGTTATGCATATTTTAGCTTTAACTAAAACAGCTTTTCAGAGAAATCGTATTATCACAAATAGATATTCCATTTTGAACAATACATTTTGAATTGCCTTAGAAATTTCTGTTGTTTGTTTCCGCCATTCCTGTTTCATTCACGCTGATGTATTTATGTTGCCGAAGTTTGTTTTTCGTCTGCGCAAAAAATTCCGCATGGAATCCATCGGGTTTCGCTTACCTGGCAAGGTGCCTGGAACAAGTAGGCGTCACCGAACGCCGTGCTCAGACAAAATATGTAGTCTCTCTTGGGGTGCTCGGGGATGGGCTGCATTATGGCCCCGTCGACGATGATGAGGTGCTTGGGGGCCGCCTCCACTGACCGGCCTTCCCGCGAGTCGCACGGGTAGAACAACAGCGTCGTCCCCTTCAGGCACACCCAATAGCCTTTCCAGCCCCGCTTCCTCGCTAGCTCGATCTGGTGTTTTTTCCTCAAAAGCCATTTTTTCACACTAAGGAATCTGGAAAAAATAATAAAATGGTCCAGTAATGATTCCTGAAGTTATACAGGGTGATCTAATAATTCTACATCATTCATTCTATTGTTTATTTGAATTAATATAAAAAAATTAAATGTATCAGTAACCGTCAGTAACTTTTATAGTCGTTATTTTGCCGGCCCTTATTTCTTAAATTCACTCTGTATATTTTACAAAATTATATAATTTTTCATTAGATAAATAAAGGGAGAATTATTTTATTAAAATATACATAATGCACCGTGGATAAAAAAACTAAAGAATAAATTAAAACGTATATTTAATTTAAAGTGTGCTAAAAGAACAATAAAATATCTTTATGCATTAATCCACCACATGAAAATAGATATTTAAACATAATCGTATACTCCTCATGAATATATTTCTCGCTAACGAATAGTTTTCTTTCTCAACTGTGCGGTAAGCTGATTTTAAAATTAAAAAACCAAAATTCTTCCAACGAAATGAAAATACTTAGTATACTGTGTATCTGGTAGTAAAGGTAATACATTCTCGGACGACAATGCAAATAAGCATTGAGTTAGGGAATGTGCCTTTACTACAAGGTACACATGATATTTTTGCTGAAATCGCAAACAATATTAATTAATTAATAATGAACTAAATTTTTTTTATTAATGCATACTTAACCTTTCCTCATTACAATCTAATTGCTTACGAAATCGTTTACTTGACAATTATTGTCTATTTATTGTTGTGATAATAGTCAAATTCGTTTTAATATCCGTAAGTGCTAAAATACACGATGATGTGCAAATATTTTAAGAAGGTGTTTACAAAGTAATTGCAGGGGGGGGGTACTTTCAATACATCTCTTCGATTTGAGCCACCACCCCCCTACCCTCCGAGAAAATATTCAAATCTCAAAATGGCAGAGAAAATTGGCTTTTAAAAGCATGTCAAAAATCGTTTTTGGTCACTGTTATACTATTTCTGTGTAACTAATCGGAAAGGAAAAATAATTTATTTTTTTGCTCGTAAACCATTAAGTATACGAAAAAATGAGAGAGAAAGAAGTTTCTAAATGAAATGTAGTATTGAAAGTTATTTTTCTTGTTGGAATTGGCTAACGTAGAAAAAAGTTATGAAAGAAATAAAACTAATTTCTTTAATTCAGACATAAACCAGAAAGAGAATACTACCAAAAAATACCATTCAAATTTCTAAGTTTAGCCGGTTTCGTGAAAAAAATAAAAGCTATTTTTTCCGGCCATATTGAGATTTGAATATTTTCTCAGGGGGGGCTCAAATCAAAAAAATCTATTGGAAGTACCCCCCTAAAATTACTTTCTAAACACCTCCTTAAAATATCTGCACATCATTATGAAACACCCTGTATGTTAAAAAAATATTTAAAATGGACAGTGGTGATAATGTTCAGGTGTCGGGACACAGTAGCAGCTGAAAAAGTGTGGCTTTAAATTTATTACTAAACAAATCTAGGGAAAAGTACGAATTCGCCTACAAACGTTTCAAACCTTTTTGATTTGAAAAAAAAAATACGATTGGATCCAATCCGAAAATGTTATGATTGCATACTTTTTCGATTTATCTACAAAGGTGAAATTGGTCAAATTACTCCATGTTGAGAGCAGAACTTAGTACAAAGGAAGACACTGATATATCAAAATATTTGAAATTACGTGTTTTCCTGAAACGTCAAGATGGCAACTATAAACCAAAGAAGTCAAAAGTTTTGTCAAATAAACAACTTGAAATGTTTATTACTCAAGTACCAGATAATATATAGGACTTAATAAATAAGCTACGTTTAGATGCGAAAATTTTAAAATATCTAGATCGCAGATAATAGCATTAACCAAAATCGTCGCAGATTTTGGTTAATGCTGGGGCAGATTTAAAAGACACGGAGGATGAAAATTTTCAAACGTTGTCAAAGGATGTATAAAGGAATCTTTTACAAATAAACTTGACATAGCAGATAAAATATTTAGAGAGGGGAGAAACAAAGAGAAATTTGCTGATAGTAATAACATTGTCTTAGAAGAAATAATGAACAACAATAATGTCGCCGACTTTTCGAGTAAAGTTCAGCCAATGTTTAAAGTTGTAACATAGCTATAAATATACACAAATAGTTATAATAAAAGTTTAATATTTGGAATACATTCAATAAATGTTATATTTACTAAATAATGCATTTTTGATGAGAGTTGGTTTGCCTGTATGTACGTATGAGTATTTACCGTATAAAATATAAATAAAAAAGTTAACTTTTCCGGTCTAGGCCGCAAAAGCAACTTTCCCATACTGTTTGCTGATGGTTGCTTAGCAACGAACTAAAATACTAGAATACGATATTTTGAGGTCTGAAATTTGGCCGAAAAAGTACACATTTCCGAACGATTTCAGAAAAAGATATTTTTACTTAGAAATGCCATTGACAATGGAATGTACTAATCGAATTTGCAGAATACTCAGTGACGTAGAATTTATGTGGTTCTTAGTGATACTGACACCTCGTATTTCCGTCGTTGGTTGACGTATTTGTATGTAAACTCAGAGCGAATTTTGACTGCTAATTAGATATTTCAGCGAACCAATCATCAATCTATGTCAAATAACTTTAGATATATTTTAGAAAATACGATATTTGTTTCTAATTTCAACACCATTTCAGCACATTTGGCGACCCACGATCATATGAAACTTTTTGCTTAAAATAATCTGTTCCATTCAAATGCCCTATTTAAAACTTGAAATACTCTTCTTGGTTATTACTTTTTTTTTTAGTTTTTGATCGGTTCATTTTTAAGAGGTGATGAAAATTCCTATCATTTTATAAAAATGGAAGAAATAGTTTTAACTAATCGAATCAGCCTTTTGATTTCATTTTTCCATTGTACTTCTTTGACTTTGACCTTAGTATTTAACACTTATTTTAAAGTTAGGCTTTTATTATGTGTCCAGATTTAAATTTAGATTTTATCTCAGGTTTAAATTTTTTTATTTATGTCAGAAATTAGCGTCTATTCCTTTTATTGTAATGCTTATTATTTATTATAATATAAATACGGAATACATTTGTCTCTTAGGTTAGTTTTGATACAAAATAATTATATCAAATTATAACATTTTTAGGCTGATAATAATAAACAATAAAATATGAGGAACTATACAGGGTGATTCACAACTTATCCAAAAAAATTTGGGAATAGATGCGGCATGAGAAATGGAGTCAATATTGTAAAAAAAATTTTTTGTAAAATCCTTATAGTTTCTGAGAAAAAAATTATTGAAGTTATAGCACATTAAACCACTACACAGCTGGACAACTGTAGTCTCTAGCATCATTCGCCACGTGGCCTCATCGACTCCGAATACTGAATTCGAATTTTGCAATCGTCGTTGCGTATTTACCTGTTATCTGTGGTTTTTATTATACGTTTTTAGTAGTTGGTGTTAAAAATGGTTTGCGTGTACTCGGAGTTGATGGATATCGTTTTAATTTATGGCGAAGCATATGTGTTATGGTGAAACAAGACATCATTTGTGTTAGTTCGTAGAAAGTGAGTAAGACGGACCCAAATGTGTTTACACGTGAGTGGATAAAATTTTGAACAATTGCTGTTGCAGCATCGGGTATGTCAGATGATTTTATTATTTAAAAACACAAATTAATTTTATTAATAATTAATAAAGGCAAAAGCATTTGAATTTGCCGATATAAAATAGGTGCGATAAAATTCTATTTACATATTTCTTTCCTTGCGAAAGTTTTTGTCCGTTTATATCACGCCGCCATAACGGTCGCATTGTGCGAGGTCAGGTTTTACAGTGGACCAGTTTCCAGTGCCGTGCAGAAGTGTATTTTTAAATCAATTTCGAACTGACCTTTTTGAAAATTGTATTTGTAAGGGTCCCCTGTACATCCAGAATTTTTATTTTTGGATAAGTTCCGAATCACCCTGTATATTTGGTAAACCCATTATTCGACCAAATAAATGTGATTTCTCTATTTTCTCTACGTATGAATTACATTTAGCATGTGGGTTGAGTGTTTCTATTTGTATTTCTGTGTTAATACTTACATATTTCGTTTTTACGGATTCTCTTAGTACCAATATAAATTACCTGCATGAGTTATATGACTGTCTCTTGTAGAGAAGGAGCTGATATTTGGTCTAGAACCAGTGGCATTAAAGAAACACATACTCATATGTAGGTACGAAAAAGATGATGTTTTTTGTATAGTTAAGAATTAAGTGCCTATGTTTATATTGTTAGTTATTTTTCTCCGAAATATTTCCCGTATACGAAATAAAGACGGTCAATGACAACAATAAAAGCTAAATGGAATATTTTACAACATTGTCTATTGTCATCTTAAAAGTAAGGTCTTACACTAACAAAGTAGGTGTTGCTATATAATATTTTCCATTTGGGAGACATAAATGACGGTATATTTTTTCTCTTTTTTTACAAAAATTACAGATATTTGTTTACGACAGTTTTACCAAGAATAATAATTATATAAACAATCTTGTACTCATATGCAGAACAGTTTAATAGAACCGAAAATGCATTTAGGTATTTCTACCTCATTTATTCTTTTAGAAATAAGTTGGGAAAAGGCCACATCTCCTAACAGTTTTATTAGCCGTGAACTTTGTGGCATTCGGAATGAGTGACAAGTTTTACGTGAGTTTTGTTGCAAATATACATGCATAAATATTTCGTTAATGGACAATAAAAGGAAGGGAGAACCTATATTATTCAAATTATTGTATTATCTACAAACACATTTCGGTATCTCGAAACTATTTTATATAAAGGTGGCAGCGATATAATCATGTCTGATTTTCCAATTATCGGCTTAATTAATATCTCAGAACAAGCTACTTACTAAATAACTTTTTAGACACGGTTTAAATTATTATTATGAAATTTTTTTATAGTGATTTTTTTAAAAGTTGATTAAACATTATGAACTCGTAATA